CATCGTAAAAAAGAAGAAATCGCTCCTTTTTATTTATACATGATTATTCCACATATAAACCGTATATTCGCCTACGTGTTTATCTCCGAATTTTCCTCGGCAGCCTTTTCCATCTATTTCACTTTCGTCGAATCAACTCTCCCCTTTTCTTTATCATTATCTATTATTTCCTTCGCTCCTCTCCTCTACTCTTTTCTTCCCTCTTTCGAAATATCTCCACGTCATCTCTATCTCGTCAAGCCGAGCTCTTTCTCTCTCGCTGCTAGCTTGCCCCATTCGTTGCTCCTTCTCTATTCTAACTCATGCGTGCTATAACGCGTCTTGTCCCTAACCTAATCCAACGAGAGTCGTGCTGAGCCACACCACGGACTACAGCCAGTAGTCGCGCACTACATTCAGACCGGTTTGATGATTCAGGTTCATCTAGATCTAAACAACTACGACCTCAGCCACGTAATACATTGATCGCGAAACTCGCGGCCAGCCTCCACACGTGGATTACCCTCTGTGAGAATAGTCATGCGAATGGGGCGCATTATGCGCACTCTGCAAGAACAGAATCCTCTGGAAGAATGTCGACTCGTATATATATATACAACACACGCTGCTCGACGTCATAAATATGTAGATTCAAGCAGCGTTATTTTGCGGAATACAATTTTGTGAAATAAAATTTTGTAATGAACGTTATTTTTTGCGTAATATAATGGAGAGGGATATTCTTTGGATATATCTTTTCTTTTTGTTCGTGGAGTTGACGGAGAGGAGAGAGAGAAGAAAAGAGATTGCAACATAACTCAAGATAAAGAACCCTCGTTTGTCTGGACGATTATGTGCACCGACTGGGTGAAGGCAAACATTTTTTAGAGGTTGAAAATGTATTTGACTTTCAAAAGCTTTTCAAGAAACTTGTAGATCATCGATTCAAATGAATTTACTTACTGAACGATTCTTTTGAAAAAACGAAATAACGATTCGTTCGTTTAGATATCGCAAAACTCGACCCGTTCCGTTGCATTATAAGTCAATAACGTTGGTAATCCACTCTTGCTATCGAAAATTGAACTGACCGATATTCAGAAACTTATCTTACCGTTACTGTAACTTCTTCTTATCAGGGCAGATGGACTTATCGCGAAATCGACGACTGAGAAAATTTACGCACGACGACAAGTATGCAGTCTGTGAATAAATTATTAGCACTGTTATTCGGGTTATTTTTTATAATTTTAGAGACATTTTTTATCCACACAAAAGAATTTATTACTCTATTTACAATTAGATATATTTGAATAAGGTTAACGGTTAAAGGTTCGCCGTTTTTTCCATGTTGACAAGAAGATCTAACATCTGCCACTTCTATCGACGCGATCACTTACTGTTTTCATTCGTGTGTTTGGCATCGATCATCCTATCGATGTTTAATTTCACCTGTTTCGGAGGAATTACGTTACATAGTAGATTCGCCGTTAGTTTTAGGGAAAATATAATATAATGCGAGAAAGATTAGTGCGACGCAATGTGATATTCAAATACAAGTAAGTGTGACAGTCAGTGCGACAATTTTTTGCAATTATATAGTTTACCCATTACGATCTCTAATCTCCTATCGAATTCGTTCCATTCGTTCGTTTCATCTCACTATACTTCACGCACTTGGTGGTTATTCGTCTGAAAATTCACGCGTCTCGAACCGGATCCATATTACTTCGTCCATCGAGTCACAACAAGCACGTTTTTCGAAAATAAATTTAAAATAGTGAACGTGAAAATTGAAAAGATCGAAATTGAAAAAATAATTTCTTCACTTCTCCACAAGAAATTGAGAAATAATTGTAAACTCCAACTAATTTGCAAAATTAACAGTTTCCTGTCGTAACATTCTATTCATTAAAGAAATAAGAACGAAATTCCTTTCCTCTTTAAGTATACCGTGACGAACAAAAGAATTAAGATTACAAAGCGGACAAACGAATACAATTAATCGTTGGAGCTATTCTCCCCGACGTATTTAGCTACGAGAAAAATTCGTCGTGAACCGTGTAAGGAGTGCCGAGGACAAAGGCTATAACCCGTATATCCCTTCGTCGTATGTTATTCTATTAAACCCGAAAATTCAGTGTTCTAGGACATTCAGGGGCAATGGTACGCATTGCGGGGACGAGTGTTAGCCTGAAATTCTCGACAAGGGAGACCTTGACCTTCGCTAGACGACCTACAACGCCCGCTTCGTTCTATCGTCTAGGGGGATCCTTGGACGAAATTCAGAAGGGTTTAATGTCTACGCTATTATACTTATTATAATCCATTCTTCCGCGTCTCGATACGACCCAGGGAGGGGACCTCTCGACAAACCAGATGAACGTGCTTCAAAATCTGTTTGTACAATCTCAAATAGAACGTACAGATAATAACGTGTACCAGCATGCAAGTTTTACAAATTTCTCGATAATAACGAAGATAAGCTTTAGAATGTCAAATTATTCAATTTCAATTGTTGAACATTAATTCTCTCGTTTCTTTTGATAAAATGTCCTCGTAATTTTAATCTTTTTACAATTCGATTTTTTACTTCCGTAACAATAACACTTTGTTTGTTCTGTAAAAATTATCTCAACAATGCACGGAATTGAACGAGAAATACCAGAATATATACCATTTCACACAAACTTTCAAGAACAATTCTCCTTTCAAAAACAATTCTCCAGCGATCTAAAATTAAAGCTACTATGAAACTTTTGTACGGTGTTTTTTCAAAACGGAATCATCTCGGTTTAACGGAATTACGGATGCAAAAGCCGAAATAAAAGAATCGTATCTCGATGCGCGAGGGTACCCCTGTGAAAACAATCGAGAGAAAGAGCCACGTTGATCCGGGAGTACTCACGGCTAGGTACGCCATTGCACCGAGATAGATGGATGGTTAGAGCGAGTGCGTCGAAGCGGGATGCGGGGGCTGATCGATAAAAGCGGCAGTCGGGTTCACGAGCCTCATTCAAGGACAAGGCCATGTGATAGCGGCCGCGCAACCGCGGTCGCGCACTCAGCCACCCCTGCCTATCGGCTGGTCGTTTATGTCAGGCTTGTCGCTACACTGTGCAAAGCCCTGCTCATATTCTGTATAAACGATGCTAGAAATTAACGTCGGATTATGCAAAATCTTCCTTTAAGATCGCGCAGGGTAGCTACTTGCTGCTATCGTTATTTGATATTATTTGTAAACATAATGAATACAGTACTACGGGCGCTAAAAGCTTTTGCAAATTAAAAAGAGTATTCTATGTAAAATTTGTTTGAAAAACCGTTTTTTTTTCTTTTTTCTTAATTTTTTTTGATACTTCTGTGATTGACAAAAGAAAGACAAAAGAATAATTGTAAAATTAATCGTCAACATCAGAAGCGTTGCAATTTCCTAATTATGTTAGATATATCTCGAAACAATTTGCCTCAATTTATTTCTCTCAATTTATGTGAGATCTTGTATAAAATATTTAGAAACATTTGTACTCGACAATGCGAACTATACGGTACTACAGCAGACAAGCGTGTCCCAACATCGCGAGCAATCGTCTCTCTCGATTGCGTAGTACGCACCAGCCACGCACACGCGCCTAGGTCAACCGTGAGTGCTGCGATTGGCTCTGTCTGCCTCTTTGCAACCCCTGCTACCCCATTAACGCAAGTCCGTTTGCACTTATAGTCGACACGCGTCGAATACGTTCTTATATAGTATATACATATACAAAAAATTGTCTTTGTACTTGTGTTGTTATCGTAATTGCGGGCATATTTGACGGATTGTTTACTCGGGTTACTTGTTTGCTATGACGCATTTGTCATATCGGGAATCTGTGTTTCGTACGAACGTGATTCGTAAATGCTCGTTACATAATTCGCGCGCATAATGCATGCGCACGCGTCGTGTAACTCGTCCCAGCGAACGCGCGTGCGCGAAAGAAATTCGAGAGGGTAAGTGCAATGGAAGGTTCGGTCTCTCATCTGCTTCCGGTTGAGAGAGTTTTTGTCTCCGTCTAATCAGACCGAAAGAAACGAAAGAGAAGATAGAGACAGAAAGAGAGACAGAGTAACGATTGAAAGAATGGAAATTGTCACGAGAGACGTTGAAAAGAAACAAATGAAAATAAAGATATTTTGATAAAGAGAGCGACGCGCGACACAGCGTTATCACGTTAAGAGGGTGAGTATTGGCAGAACAGAACGGCGGAAGGGTAGCAGACGAAACTGAAAAGGAGGAAAAATAGGGAGCCGACACGCGTGAAAGAAAGATAGAGAACGGCGCGATAGTGTGTGCGCACCGGGAGATCGTGTTACGTGACATAGTGTGGGGTCGTATCGCGAAGCACTCGCTTTATATACGTGCGGATAGCGCGCTGGAACGTCGAACGCTATAGGTCGAACCATGCTCGTTCGCCACAGGCTATAGGCTATCCGTAGGGGCGCGATAGAGAGCGAAATAGAGAGCGAGAGGAGACGAGGAACGAAGCGAGACGAAGACGAACGTACGTGCAGAGGCAGACAGAAAGAGATAGACAGAGGGCGGGAATGAAACGGAGATAATACCGAGAGAGACGCGCCGGGCGCGAGGGAGATATCCAGACAGAGGAAGAGAGAGAAACGAGAGCGCTTATGCACCGCTGAATCCTTCGCGGCCGGCCGCACTCTCACTTTCGCCGGCGCCGATGACGGTTCTCGTCGTCGTCGGCTCATTGCCGTCTGCGCTCCAACCACCGATTTTTTTTTTCGTTTAACCGTGAGTGTAACACATTACGCACTGATCCACACCACGCTTTTCATCGAGGAAAGTGTCTCGCTGGAGAGAAAGAGAGAGAGAGAGACAGATACAGCGTGGAGCATAGAGGGCGCTTCCTCGTCACGATGATTTCCCGCGTTTGTCTTGACCACGTGATCGATCGTATCGATTATCGATCAAAGTGAGAGAATCGGCGCGAATGAGAGTCGCGAGACGTGCACGGAGTTGGTAATCGAAACTGGTTGCGGCATTGAGGCGCGGGGGAGTCACGTTGCCTTTGATTTACCTTGTGACGAAACTCGAGCAGGGGTTGACGCTCTCGGAGGCCTTCGCGACGATAAACCGCGGTCAACCGTGGAGGTGGATCTCGCTCGTGCTCTCTTCGTCTCAATCGTGTGTATCAAGGGTGACAGAGGGAAACCGAGAGTGTTCGAGGAGAGGGGGGAGGGAGAGTAACTCTCTGGTACGAAAGCGGGAGCGAGAAAGTAGAAGGGAGGAGGACGCTGCGTGGGTGGTGGGAGAGAGGGAAAGGTCGGCGGTGGCTCGCGAGGGACTACTCGTATTCCGAGGACTGTTGTTTTCGGCGAACTGCTAAGAAACACTCGTCCACGCGGACCGGTCTTACGTGTATCCTTTCTTTACGCACTCTCGTGTATCGTACGACAACAGCCATTCGCGAATGGTAAGATTTTTCCATCAGTGACACACTCCGAATGTTCCGTCGAACGCGATCAAAATTGTGTTTTGCACGTGTTATCCGATATTGTGAAACGTTAAACGTGTGACATCTTTCAACACCGTTCAGGTTATGAATGGAAATATTCCGACTCGGTAATCTTGGAACAAGTGATTCGCAAGTTGTTTCTCGGTGACTACTGACACTGCATTGCAAATGTGCTCACCTGTACATTCGAGAGACTACGTGCTTCTCGTGCACTTATTTTTCCGTATCGCAAGTGTTGAAATATTACGTCGGTGATTTTCCAACGGACAGTGCGTTCCGAAAGGATATCGTAACGGATATTCGCAGAAGACGGCAGGACACGTGTGTGCAGGACGAAAATCTTGCAAAAATCTGCAGGATATATATTGATAGTGACACTCGCGTTTGTATTTCCATTCCGCATTACTCCGGACACCTCTGGAACGATCTCTCTCCCAAATAATCGCGGTCTCGCTCGGTGGGACGCGATCACTGGCTGGTTACCCTAGAAAACGAGTGCGCGGCGCGCGTAAAATGAGTGATTAGTTCGGAGTGTCGCCGCGAGGGCTTTCGCTGCAGGTGTCACGCCGCCGCAAGACATTGACCGTGACATTCGAGAGACATCCGCGCGTAGATACGGTGAAAACGTAGCAACAAACTGAGTGAGTCACGACTGTTGTTGACGATTCAATTCTTAGTCTCGTGTTTTCGTTTTTTCCCTTTTTCGTTGTTTCTTCCCCTTGCGACGTACATGTTGCATGGCCAACGAAAACACCCGGCCACCGATTTGGTAACTTGACCACGAATCTTGCTCGTAGTCGATGTGCTCGCGTGTTTTTCGTGAATGAAGCCGATCGAAACGGTTCTTGTCCGCAAGAGATTTTCGAGTGCAATTCCGTGACCCGCGGCCGCGGGTGAAATATATTAAACGTGGCTCACACAGCGAGGGACAGGGCCGCCGAATTACAGGCGGAAGTAAGAAGCGCGATTAGAGTGCTACATGGCTGGTGCCCCAGGCCGCCCCAGGGGCACCGCGGTGACACGGTCCTGATGTCACCACAGACCCAAATGCGAGGAAATCATAGAAACGGAGGACCAACGCAGCAACCACCGCCAGCCACTGTTGTAGTCAGTTCAACGTCCAGTATGAGACCACCGCCGCCGCCGCCGCCCCCCAGAGCTAGAGCCTCCAACGAGGGCAAGGGCCACCACGAGGAACCTACAAGCTCCATTCCCGATCTCGGTGAGCTATATGTTCTGTCCCTTTTTCCTCTTCCCCCTCCTTTTTTCCATCTGTTTTTGAGGCTGTATTTTATTGGATTAAGGGAAGTTGTTTACGTGATTCTTTGCGGCACGAAGCGAATCATTGAAATCTCGGATGTAGGTATCATTTTCATCGTGTTATTGTGTATTTCGCGGAAGAGCGACATCCTCACTTCGAAACTTGAAAATTCTTCTTGGACGAGAGGTCAATATAAATATTACGTTACACGGTTCGTTTTGGAGTTGAAGTCTTTGGTGAAACTTCGAACGAAGTTTCATTTTATTATTGCGTTTAATAGGAGTGAAAATTTATTTTGTTTTTGAAACATAGGTTAACGATGAGTCGAGTTATAGATAAATGTTATTAAAAATATTGGATATGAAAATCAGAATAGAAAACAGTATAATCTCCTAATGTTTAAAGTTTGATTAGCGTCAAACGTGGATTTTTATTTTTATTTCGATAATTTATTTCGCTTTTAAACGAAAAAGTTTGATTAAGTTTGGATTTTGAGCCTTTCTTACTTATCGAAATACGCAGAAATGAATTGATATTATTAATCTGAGATTTTTTTTTTAATGATATGGCTCCTTTTACGAAAAATCGATAATATTTAATTGCAAAAAATCGATAATATTTAATTGCAAAAAATCGATAATACTTAAGGGTCAGATATATCACTTTTTGTACGTAGAAAGTGAAGTAGTTTCATCAGGGCGATGATTTATTTATCGACCCGATTGGTCCCAAAGCGTGTAAATTATAAATTCGTTATATTCGTAAGTCTCGACAAGTTTTTCAAACCTTGAACTTTAATTTGTATTTAAGTGGACAGTTCGTGTATCAGTTTATAACAGAAATTTTTTACGTCCGTTTTTGTTCGACCTGCTATTCTGAAATTATGAAACTTGGCAAACAAAATGAAAAATCGTTTAAAAACGTTTGGAAATCTTGAATAATAAACATTTAATTCTTTTATAAACATCGTGATATGATACAAATATCGATACGATAAATTTTATCTGTATCTTTGGATTATTCAAATTCAGGTGGAAATGTTCAATGAATTTACAATGTCAACGAAATCAAAACCATTGATCGGAAGATAACACGTGTTTAGATTAGTAAAATTCAAACGAATATCTCCTAACGAGATTTTAAATAATTATAGTAAAATATTATCATTACCTTGCGCAAGATAAGGTTGGGTCTTTAGTTCAAATATATAATAAAATAAATGTACAATATCTCTTTTTATTTTGTTAATGTCTTTGCCCAATATTTCTCTAATAGAAACGTGTCTTTTCATTCTTCAAAAAGAAACAAATCATCGCCCGTTCACTTTGCGACAAATTTGGAGCATTGTCTGTTTGAATGAGAAAAATCTGTCTTCTTCAATCTTCTTCAATCTGTCTTCTTCAGTAATAACACGCATAATTCACAAGTGAAAATAAAAGGAATATATTATATGAAATTTGGCTTTGTTACGGGCTATAGTTAGAAACTGGGTAACTAAATTTATATTTATCGTACTAAATGTACTTCAAGTAAACGCGACTCCAGAATTTTGTTGTCATTCTATTTATCTTAGAACATTCATCAAAATCTCGCGAATTATACAATTTGGCTCGTTAAGCCAAATATTTAATTCTTTCTTTAACAAAAAAAAAAAAAAGAAAAAGACAAATTTTTACGGGGAAAATTCAAAAGAATCAATTTGCCTATGGAAAGTTTATGGTTTGTCACGTATGATCTTCCCGTAATTAATTTCTGCACCATGCTGTAATCGTGCAGTGTAGGAACCATTCTTTCCTGACATTCACAGAAACTGTTGGCGCTCCGATCGATGTATGTTTAGTGTTTACGTCTGTACGTTTCATTAACGATAAGTCCCGTTAAGCGCAATCGTCTGCGCTTTTCGTGACGGCCGGACGTTTGTGTAACGTGAAGGCCGTTACGCGTAGGAGATCCGGGAAGAGAAAGTTGACAGCAGCGCGAAGCTTGAAAGCTCCGTCGAGCCGTTTCGTGCCTAAAAATAAGTTTTTCATCTCCTGGTCGGAGTGAAAGCCTCCCTCTTACCGCTATCCGGTGTATATACGCTTTTACTCCGAATATATCGGTGGTCGCGTCGTGTAAGTAAACATTGATACTCGTGGCTTTACCCTGCGGATGAACGCGGTTTTCTGTTTCCTTTTTTCTCCTTGCATTTTCTCTCTCTCTCTTTTTCTTTTTGTTTTAGCTAAATCACAATAGAAGAGGATGTAACCTTTTGTCGAGCGTCGTGATTTTCACGTGTAACACGGTGCGTGCGTAGGGGGTGCACGAACGAAGATTTGTCTGTAGGGATTTAGGGTGTTTTATAGAGGGAACGATGAGGTACGATATCGAAGTTTAGGTTACGTTTATAATTAATATAGGGGAAGAGGTATCAGTGAAATATAGCGGTTATTTCTTTGAAAGAAACGATTTCGTACGATTAATCCCTCGTAAGAAGGGTTGAACGATTCACCCTTCATCCTCGGTTTTCTTTCCAACGAACCTGTATTTTTAATCGAATAGGTTTCAAAGGTCGGGCTTAATGAAAGATTGTATAATATGATGCGGAGCATTTCATAAATATTTCAGAAGTTTTTTACATTTTCGAAAGCTTATAAAAGCACAGTGATACAGAGTTAATAAATCTAAAATAAACTCCGCTGCGACCGAGTATCTGTAGCGGTATAATTTCATGAAGCTCTAGTATGTAACTTTGGTTTTTGAATAATCGAGTTCATCGCCTCCGTCAATCCAGGGAAGTATCACTTCGTTAAACAAAGTGAGCGATTACAAAGATATAAATCACGTTCTTTCGTCGTTCGAGTATTTTTTTTTTTTTTTTTTTTATACAAGAGGCACTCGGTATTCTCGGACGAGCAGAATGATTGATACTCGTTTTTACGCGTTGTATACAAACGAATTTTGTTTAACGGAATCGAATCATTCGAGTGCACGTGCACTAGAACGACATAAAATCTTTTTATCCCAAAAAGTCGAGCCTCGCGAAGATGGAAACGCGTTCTGCAACTTCTCCTTCGTTAATTCAAAATAAATTAAGCCAACGAGCTGGTAAAAGCAGATATCTCGTCGGTAGGATGGCGAAAACGAAGATGAACTCGAAAACGAAAGTAAATCGATGGAGTGATTCAATAGACACGTTGTTCGAGTGAAGAATCGAGACGAACCGCGTTACGGGGGCTTCGTTCCCTGAAAGCTAATACCCGAGCTGCTTGATAATCGATAATCGATCCGTCGTCGATGAACAGAGGCCTCCTTACTGGCGAAACAATCTGCATACGCGAACCGATCGATTCGCGTGGCCACTTTATTGATTCAGACGACACCACTTGCGAGTAACAAGAATCGCGAATATTACATTCTATCCATTAATTACAGGCCGTTCCTGCTCAATTACGAAGCATCATCGTTTTGCGATCGTGAACAATTTGCCGCGATGAAACCACCAATTTGAAATAATCTCCTTGTAGAACATTTCTGAATGCTTGATATTAAAATTTGATTGTAGGCTGTTTGGGAATTTTACTTGCTTTACGTGCTTCGAGAGTTTCGTAGAAGCTTCATTCCTTACTTAAATATGCAAAATACAAGGTAAACTGCGATGAAGGTAGATTAGTAACGAAGTTGAGAGTTGCAGTACATAGAAAAATTGAAGTTTCATTTCGAATCTAGATCGTCTTATTACCAATTGAAAACGAGTGGAGTTATTCAGGCGCGATGGAAACCTGTTTAAAGTTGTGCAAATATTAATCTCACAAAAATCTCGGTCCCGTTGAAAATTTTAAATCACAAACAGTTTCGGCGCGGAGGATCAACTGGTTTGTTAAGAGGGCGACCTCGACACGCAAATACAATTTGCTTAATGTCACGGTCGCCAATCTATTGAATGCACGATCAATAAAAAATAATATCGATAAGAAACATTTTATACATTTTCCAATATATATATAAAACAAAAGAATCAAATTATTCTCTTTTGTTATTAGTCAATAAAATCTATAACGTCTATAATTTAACATTCATCTTGGTATTTGTATTCACATTTTCTTGTTGTTTTTATCTTAAAATTTTTTATCTTAAAATTTGAAAGAGAATCGAATTTACTGGAACGTATTTTTATAATATTCTTATTAAGGGTGGTATTAAATGTAGCATAGCATAAATATACCTACCAACAGTATAAAAATAATTCAGGATAATGTTGGTTAAAAGTTCTGGAATTATTCAGTTGGAGATAAAATTTCTACGTAATTTTATGAAAATTCAGAGGTAATTTCGAAGTATACAAATTCATTTGGAATAGAAGGGGGTGGAAACTCTCTGTTTGCGCTACTCAACGATACTCGGTTCGCACGACAGGTTGTCACGCTTGATTTTTGTTCTGATAAACGGCGGCCCGTCGCCGTTGAGAAAATACAACGTTCGTTTCGATGACATTGAACGGGAGGCACGTTATCACGGCTACGATAACTGATAAAGGGAATAGCCGCCGTAAACGACGGGGGTTTGAGATACGAATGAATCGAATTCACGGATGGAAAACGTGGAAAATGGTCTGCTATGAATCGAGATTCAATTGCTCGAAAAATCGACTACGATAGTATTTGAAATGATCGAATTTTTTTGAATTTTTTTCTCAAAGCACTTGTAATAAATTTGTGATGTTTATCGATTAGTGACGCATGCTCCAAGACGTCCTTGATATTTTTTCACTTTGTTGTTTGTTATTGGAATTTCTACTTTTTATGAAACACGCGTAGAAGATACACTCGGAGCGTTTTGCAATTAATGTGTGCTTGAGTCAATCGAATCACAATTCTCTCGACTCGTCTTGTCTTCGTCATTCACTCTCGCATTTGAAAAGTGTATATCGGTTGTGTTAGGCGAATTCAATTTTTAGATAATTTTTCGTATCATTCGCGTTT